GACCACAACGTCCGGCCTCTCTATCGCTCCCATACGACAACTGCCCGCCGAGTGATACGTCGACCGAGAATTATAACTCGCATAACACCTCAAACCCTGCAAACACTGATACAAATAGGGTTTATTGGGACAGACGGGACACCCGATGGACGCAAACGATGGCAAGGGTTGTATATATTTGGCCAGTTCTGTGCGTTCGAGTAAATAAAATTGCAAAACTGTTGCCTCCAGTAAATCATTAACATCTCTGGGATCTGACAACCAGTTTGGGTCAATCAATGGGTAGACCAACGGATTGGTGGACTGTAAACGCACTGTACCGCCGGTGCTTTTAGATCTGACCAGAAACGACCCTGTTTGCACTGTTCCGTTGTAGGGCCGGTAAAACAGGTTTATGTTTGGCCATTGTTTGTCCCGATTAGTGCTCGTGCTAAACACCAAGATCGATATGGCCAATTGAGCCAATGGACCATCTTGTTCGTAATAGAGTTGGCTTAATTGTTTTACATTAATCGTTTGTAACTCATTGACCATGTGGCTGTATTCGGGTTTCATGGGTGCAATAACTGATACGCTCGGGTGGTTTCCAAAGTTATGGCCAACCGGTAGGTCCAGTATTACAGGTATTCCCATATCATTCAAATGGTCTGCGGGTCCGACACCAGAGAGCATTAACAATTGGGGCGTATTTATTGAACCTGGTGGATTTAGATAATATTATAATAGATTTAAAAACATTACAATATTGTGTTATAGTCTATGTACTACAGTGCTAAGCACTTACGTAATTTTTTAATTGGGAATGCCGCTTTTCATAATGAAAATTTTACAAAAGAGATTACCACTACTTTATTGTTTAATATTATTAAATGTATACTAAATTTATAATTTTAAAACTAAAAAACATACTAAAAATTATGTTAAAAATACTTATTTTATAAAGTAATATAATGAACAAATTAATTATTTTAAAGTACATTAAATTAGTACTGTATATATTTTATTATATTTATAAATTATTTACCGGCGGAAACAATGACTTCACTGTTGGCGTAAACCGTATACGAGATGTCATTCACTATAAACTCGACGCCAATGGCTGTCAACCCATTGAACAGTATTTTAGTGACCAATGCTTTGCACACTATATGAAGATTTCTTGGGTGTGGGTTTGGGTCCACAAAATTATTACCCGCACCAGACCTAAAACCCCGACCAGTTATAAACGACTCAACTAACATATACCCGGCCTGTTTGGGGCCATTAATGTCGGTATCTCTATATCCCAATCCATTAACCACTTTATGAAAAACATCGAGGATTTTATCGGGACTTTTAGGAGAACTCACTTGAATCGGTCCATGAGTTCCGTGATATTTGGGATTACTGTTCACAATATATGGATCCGTATTGTTCTCCCACTCCCTGAACACCGGCAACACATCCCTATAACTCCAACCGACGGCGCCGTACGTATTGGCCCACTCGTCAAAGTCTCGACGATTACCCCGATTGAAAACCATGTCGTTGTGAGTTGTGGTGCCGCCAAGTGTTTTGCCCTTAGTCTCAGGCACTCGACCGCCGGCGTATACCTGACCGATATTACTGTGCGGCTCATTATAATAGTCCCATTCGTTGACATTAGCAGGGTAAATGTTGAAAAACATTCCTGGTATATCGTTATATATAGCACTTTGAGAGCCTCCAGCCTCTAACAACAGCACTCGTAATGATTCACTGAGTTTGTTGGCCACAACAGCACCGGCAGCCCCGGCGCCCACTACTATAAAATCATATTCACTGTCCCATTGTGTACGTCCAGCTGTTCTGTCGTGTATGAGCTGTCTCTGAGCCGTAATCCACGAGAGCACCAGTAGTTTATAAGTTAGTAAAGGAACTTGCACCATATTTTATGACTTAATAAAGTTACTTGTATGTCTATTGACAATAGACTATTGTTTTTAAAAGAGTTTCTTAAACTAAGATAATAGGCTTGTAGTAAAACAAACAAATATACAATTAATGGTAATTAAATATCTAATAATTTAGTAATTATTATATTAAATATGATAATATTTCATTGTTTAATACAATTTACACAAATTGTAAAAATGTGATTGATTTGAACTTCTTTAATTATAAATACATTATGTGTAAAATAGGCCAAAGTGAGCTTTAAATACTTACATGTTTAGCCTAATATTAATCATAATATTATTGTCTATGGAAAATTTTAATTTTAAATATGTAAAACTCAAAAAACACAATATGTGAAGTTCACATTGTGAACATATTTTGTTTTATTTTTAGTTTTTATCTATTTAGTTTAAATGTTTTATTTGATTGTGCACACATTTACAGTATTATAAATGTACAGTAGATGTAAAGTAATGTGTATCGTATTGTGAATACGAACTCTCGTGGCTTTAATTATTTCTCAACTGTTACTATAAGTTATAGTCTATAACCTGTTTTATCTGATCTCTAATCTAATCAATGACTGTATATAAGAGACACGCCTTCCTATATATAGTCACTCGTCTTCCAGTCCTTACGCTATAAACATGAAAGTGATTTTTGTTTAATAATTAACTGTTGATTATGACCATATTGTAATCACCGGTCGCCGTGAAGGCCCGCAACAGCACTTAGGACTCGAGATGTGCCAAAACCCCTGCAACACACCCGCACACCCCCTGCTTCGGCAATATATGTGTAAATGCTATTAATTATTTAGCATTTATAATCAAATGTAATTAATAATCATTGAATTTATACATTAAAAATATATTAAATAAAGTTAGTTAATATAATATCCTGTAACCATAAAATATAAATATATGATAATTTACAGCATTAATTAAGATTAAATAAGTACAATTATTAAATTAATTAATAATAATTATACAAATACAATATAATATTATTTTAAATGATAATAATCTTTAATAAATTGCGCGCATTTATAGCCCACAGTTATAGAGGCGGAGGCGGTGTTGGCGTTGGGTATAACGGGAAACACAGAGGCGTCGCAAACCCTTAGATTGTTGGCCCCCTTAACCCTCAACTGGGGGTCGACCACAACGTCCGGCCTCTCTATCGCTCCCATACGACAACTGCCCGCNCCCTTAACCCTCAACTGGGGGTCGACCACAACGTCCGGCCTCTCTATCGCTCCCATACGACAACTGCCCGCTGAATGAAAGGCTGTGTGAGTGTTATAACGGATATAACACTTCAAGCCCTCAACGCATTCATACATATATCGTCTGAGCGGACAGACGGGACACCCGATGGAGGCGAATGACGGCAAGGGTTGTATATATTGTGCTAATTGTGTCCGTTCAAATATATAAAACTGCATTTTGGCCGCATCTAGCAAGTTTATAAAATCATCAACATCGTCCAACCATTTTGGGTTAATTAAGGGAGAGGTCATCGGGTCAGTCGACTGCAACCTTATTGTGCCCTTACTCTTGATTCTGACTAAATTGGACGTGGTCACTATTGTGCCAGCAACAGGTTTCATAAATAAATTGACGTTTGGCCACTGTTTGTCCCAATTATGTTGTGTGCTATATATTATTACGGCGTTATTATGCCTGGCCAGTGGCCCACTCTTGTTATAATACAGTTCACCAAGTTGCTTTACGTTTAATTCTGGTGGCTTGTTAATTAAATAAGAGTATTCAGGCCTTATATTAACAGTCAGACCGAGGTTTGGGTGGCTTTCATAGTTGTCACCCACCGGTAAATCTAACAACACTGGTATATCAACATTTTCCAGATGTTGTCTGGGTCCAATTCCCGACAACATTAAAATTTGTGGCGTATTTATTGCACCTAGGATATAATAATATTTTGATAAACATTTTAAACATATTAAAATATTTATTACAATTTTATATATTATAATTACCGGCGGAAACAATGACTTCTCTGTTGGCGTAAACCGTATACGAGATGTCATTCACTATAAACTCGACGCCAATGGCTGTCAACCCATTGAACAGTATTTTAGAGACCAATGCTTTGCACACTATATGAAGATTATTTGGGTGTGGATTCGGGTCTATAAACACATTACCCGTTCCCGATCTGAAACCTTGTGTTGTAACAAACGACTCGGTGTCCATAAACCCGATCTGATTTGGGCCATTAATATCTGTATAATTAAACCCCAACTCAACAGCAGATTCACCAATAATTGAAATGATTTTATCAGCATTTTGTGGTGAAGTTATCTCAATTGGACCATGAGTTCCGTGATATCCAGGATTATTGTTAACAATAGTAGCATTTGTATTGTTCTCCCACTCCCTGAACACCGGCAACACATCCCTATAACTCCAACCGACGGCGCCGTACGTATTGGCCCACTCGTCATAACCACGACTATTACCCCGATTAAAAATCATACCATTATGAGCGCTACTCCCGCCTAGTGTTTTGCCTCTGCGGTCTGGCACTCGACCCCCGGCATAT